CGCTCAGGGACTTCATTTTCAAGTTCATTTTAGTTGCAATATCAGACAAAAGTGGATGCTCTAATTTTGGTGAATTGTGTGGCAACAAGCGCTGGCTGGATTGAATGGATTTATCAGCAGGTTTTCCACTTTTTTTTTCTTCTATTCGACGTATGTTTGTTTGAGAACTAGTGGACTTGTGGCAGACATCGCTACTCTAAATCTAAAAGCCGAAAGTTCCGCTTTATCAGTGGGAAAACAAATCGTTTTGCGAATCGTTGTTTTAATGACAGATCAGTGCAGATGCATGACAAAAGCCAACAGCTTTCTTGTAACATTCGAAAAAATGAACATTAATGGCAGTCTTTAGGGCTGCTAGTTTGTGTTACTTGTGTGTCAGCATCTGAACTATTTTCGAATGTCTCTACCCCTTTTCTGGAAGAGTTAGGGCTTGATTGGAGAAGTGCTGTGAACTTCGATGGTAAAAAATCAATTATACATGCTGATAACATTTTATTCACTACCAAAAATGCTACTGAGATTAACGAATTTCTGCCAGAAATCCGAACACGAAAAAAAAGAAGTGGGTTTAGAAAAGCACGTGCTGCAATAAAGTGACCCACTCTTGCAAGAATTGGACCAAATTTGGTTTTTGGTGGTTTCTGCGGGCTTTTTTTTAGCAACCCCACATCTGAATTTTGTTATCTTCGGATTTCGAGCTCTTTGGATTCTTTTGGTCGGAGTAAATGGATTTTTTTTTGGCATGCTAGTGGAACTGAAACAGCTGATCAGAATATTTAGGTATATGTCTGCAATGTTTTTCATTGCAAAAATGTACCTGGATAGAGGCATATCGGCATTTAGCTAGAATGTTGGATGCATGCCACATGATCGGAGTGTATACCCGGCACTTCCGCTGCTTGCATACAACAGGTCCCAAAAGATACAAATTCAAGAACTTTTTTCATAAAGATGCAAATTCCATGCGGAAATAATCCTTCTCATTTATGAATTATTTTCAGATCAATATGAGATCTTTGCGAACTCGTGGAATGACCAGTTTTACTGTGGATTATTTGCTTTGGCATCACTTCGGAAATCATGTGGCGCTCAACCCACTGGATATGGTTCGTCGATATCGCGCATATTTCCAGCGTATACCGAACCCGAAAAATCTTGCGGCCTTCATCGAAACTTATTTGAAGTATGGCACAAAATTATTAAGAGGCTGGGAAAACGTCCACGTAAACAGCATGGTCTTACCGAATTTATTCCTACGCCAGATACAGTTGTGCTAAGCCTCTTACTTTTCGAATGCAAGCCTTTAATTAGTACTCATTGGCCACTCGATGTGTGCATGTATTTGTACCGCAGCCTCAGGAGCCTCTCGAGTGCCGTTTACTCCCGCTGTGGTACCACTTACTAGCTCATCAAACCCATCAGTTGCCGAGAAAATGAACAACTTTTCCAACTCATGAAATTTTATCTCTTCGCATGGCCGTAACAAGATCGCGCATTTCGCTCATCTATTGGGGGTTTGATTATTTATATAGTCACGAATGCCTTTACTCCATCGCTATCTCCATCAGAATTGGCTATTGTGCTTTCCACATTTCGCACCGCTCGCGATTGCTTTCGGAGATTTGCTAGTACTGTTTCTTGCTGTTGATAAGCCCCGTTTCGCTAACATTACCCATGTCTAGTAAAATTGTTTTACCATCCATCCAAGTTAAGAATTGCTCGACGCTTCGTCGTATTTCGCATACAACGGAAATGTTGTACGATTGTGCTGAACAAGGGCTCCTCTTTGAATCTTATTGTAATGGTTTTTCAGTACAAGTCTTTCAAGTGTACTGCATTTCAAGCTATGGGCTCAGGTGAATGCATGCAAAATTTGTCTAAGTGCTGCGCTTTCGAGTAAGCATGCCCATCTCTGTTTATGGACGGAGCCGTACGAAAAAAGCATACTCACCCGCATGTACTATGGTGCTGTGTAGTTCCGGATCATCTTTTGGCAGAGCAAATGCGGCGCATTAGTTCTTTTCTAATGATGTCTAGAACGCTGTTTTGTATGCTTTAATTTCATAATACATACCGCCAGTTAATATTTATAATTTTAGTAGAACACCGATTGCTTTCTCGCGTGATGGTTTGATGGGCCCGAAAATAAATGTACCCGTTCTACAGATTGTCGGCTCAAATTCGCCATTTGTGGAGAGCTCAGTGGACGTTAACTCGCGACTGAATCCGGCTGACTCGGAGTGGCTTAAGGTTATTTAATTGCTTTTTCCTCTCATTACTAGAAAGTATCGTTGTACATTTCAGTGATACAAAATCATGATTTTTTTAACTGTTTGTTTTTCAAATCGTTCTTACAGTCTGCATTAAATTGCAGCTTTCTGAGTCTAGTGGACTTGTACTCGATGAT